TATAAAGGACCTATTGCTATCACGTAGTTTACAAAATAAAATAGTATTGTACATCATCAATATAAAGGACCTATTGCTATCACGTAGTTTACAAAATAAAATAGTATTGTACATCATCAATATAAAGGACCTATTGCTATCACGTAGTTTACAAAATAAAAGAGTATTGTACATCATCAATTCAAAAGACCTATTGCTATCACATAGTTTACAAAAGAAAATAGTATTGTACATCATCAATATAAAGGACCTATTGCTATCACGTAGTTTACAAAATAAAAGAGTATTGTACATCATCAATATAAAGGACCTATTGCTATCACGTAGTTTACAAAATAAAAGAGTATTGTACATCATCAATATAAAGTACTTATTGCTATCACGTAGTTTACAAAATAAAAGAGTATTGTACATCATCAATTCAAAAGACCTATTGCTATCACGTAGTTTACAAAATAGAAGAGTAGTTTACATTTTCAACAAAAAAGGACCTATTGCTATCACGTAGTTTACAAAAGATAACAGTACTGTATATTTTCAGCATAAATCATCTGCTGTTTTCAAGTAGATTACAAAACAGAAAAGTCTTGTATATTTTCAGTATAAAGGACCTGCTACTGTCACTTAGTTTACAAAGAAGAAGACATCTTCAACGTGAATAACCTACTACGGTCACGTATTTAAAAAAAGAGAAGAGTATTTTACATTTTCAACATAAGTCTTTCTGCTATCACGTAGTTCAAAAAATATAACTCATCAACATAAAAGACCTACTTCTGTTACGTAGTATACAAAAGAAAAGAGTATCGTACATCTTCAACGTTAAGGTCCTACTGTTGTCACATAGTTTATAAAAGAAAAGAGTATTATATATTTTCAACATAAAGGACCTGCTAATGTTAAGCAGTTTCGAATACGGAAGAGTATTGTACGTTGTCAACGTTACTGACCAACTGCTGTCAATTAGTTTATAAAAAATAAGAATATTGTACATATTCCTGTTGCTGTCACGTAGTTTACGAAAGTTTGTTTGTTTTGTTTTTTGAATTTCGCGC